CCATCGCGTTGTGGAAAGTAGATGGCCGAGAGATGTGGCTCATGGTGGAGGTGTTTGTACCGGTGTATTTCTTTTGACGTGTAATGTTGTCTTCAAACAGTTTTACTATGGTAGAAGCAGTGAAAGGACGTTTGGTTGCTGGTTTACAGATTAGGGAAGGTGGGTCAACGGTTGTTACGGTATTTGCGGGAGGGCCTGTAAGTTGTTTAGAGTTCTCAGGTGATGTGGAAGATTCCTGAGAATCTGCACCCAATGAGCAGTTGTCGTGTATGTCTTTCGAGGTCGGAAGGATACTCTTTGGACGTCGAGGGGGAGCCAGAATTGGTTGAGAAATCGGTGTTGTTGCTTTAGCTGTCGAGATTGTTATAATAACTTGATATCTTTGTGTCGTACAAAACAAAAGTTTTTGTACGGAGGAAAAGATGGATTTGGAGAGAGATTGAATGTTATTAGTGTGAGAGCGGATTTGAGTGACGTAATAGTAAGCGGGGGAAAGTGTTGTGCGTAAGAGGGTTTTTTTTTTTTTTTTTTTTTTTTTTTTTTTTTTTTTGCCCTGTATATTTTTTTTTTTTTTTTTTTTTTTTTTTTTTTTTTTCACAATGCACTATTCCATAATCCACTTGTAGAAGAGAACACCAGGATCGGGTTCATCGACAAAAGTTTCTTGGGTTTTGTGGCAGATCTGATCAACGAGGAATAGAATGTTGAGGAGATCGGTCCAGAGAGGTTGCCATTTGATTATTAGATTTTGTTTTTCAGTGATGGACTTGGGCTTGTTAGTTGGGAGTGATTTTAATATTGCGTCGATTGGGTTGATATCATTATGGAATCCACGTTGAATATTTTCCCAGTATGTCTCGGGGATAGCTGGACATATAAGCAAGTGATTTCGACTCATGTGACCGCCACAGTGACAATTCGGCTTTCCACCAGGTAACCAATTCATGCGCCACCTAAGGAGTCGCCTACGTTCTTTTCTAGTCATAGGAATTGTGAGGATTGGATCTATTTTTAAATCAGATCTGCAGCCTTGTATCATCTTTTCCGAAGAATTGATGATGGCGTTAGATCTGTAGGAAGAGATTGTGTGAGTAAGTTTTGTAAAGATGGAGATGGGGGAGTTATCTTGTTGTAGTGCTTGATATATTGGGTTTTTGTTTTTGATTAGGTTTAGCTTGCTATATCTTGTGTTGGATTGAATAATTTTGTGGATTAAGGAATCGGATGGGAGAGAAGCAGCTCGGATGAGGTATTTAGAGTTCAGGGTGTACCATCGTTCGACCATGCTGGGAAGGTTGATCATGACTCGTAGTGATTTGACAGATGAATTTGTAAACCCGCCAACAATCATCCGAAGACAATCATCTTGAAGGCGTTCCAGAGCTGCAAAGTTAGTTGATTTAAAATTAGATATACATAGACCATATTCGATTTTGGGTCGAATAAATTGTTTGTATATAGTGATAGAGAGTAATAAAGAGAAGCCATTTGAGCGGGCACCAATTTGATGGATTCGATGCATGCTGTTGTTGACTTTTTGTTTGAGATTGTTTATAAATGCTTGAGTGTCCATTCCAAGATAGTTGAATTGTAGACCCAAGTATTTGACCGTTTCTGCTGTTGGTAGATTAGTGTTATATAATTTGTAAGTAGTATTGTTAGTAGGAGATGATATGACAGTGCACTTGGTTGGAGACCATCGGTATCCATTCAGTAATGAATGCTCCTCACATAGGTCCAATAGATGTTGCATTTTATTTGGGGACGATATCAGGACAACGTCGTCGGCAAATAAAAGGCAGTTGATATCTTGTAGATTATGTGATGGATGAATTTCACTCAATTGTTGAGGAAGCGAGTTGATGAATATGGAATACAGGTGAGGGCTGAGGACACTACCTTGTAATACTCCAGTGATTGGTTTGAAGTTTGGTGATTGGTGGTTTCCATTGATGACTTGAATGTTAACTTGATCAAATAAATTTTTCAAGATATTTAATAGTCTATGGTTGCAGTTTTTGTTATACATGGTGTTCCAGATTGTTTCACGTGGGCACTGATCGTATGCTTTCGCAACGTCCAGTGTGATGACAGCAGGTGGGGTGTTGTTGTTGTTAATTTTGAACCTATGCATTAATTCATCCAGTACCACGGCGTGATCCATGGCAGACAATTTGGGTTTGAATCCTCCTTGCTGTATACTAATGAAATTTGTTTGCTGGTATAGTTGATCTTGGAGGCAGTATTCCATTACTTTTCGAAATGTAGACGTCAAGCTGATTGGTCGGTAGTTATTGGGCATTGTTTGGTCACCTGCACCTTTGTAGATGGGAACAATTTGTGATTGTCGCCATAATTCAGGTGTGTATCCAGTAATCCAGCAAATGCGGAAGAGTAATTTCAATATAGTTGTGGATGAGTCGATAATGGGTTTGATCATTTCGGAGGTGATGTGATCGCTGCCCGGACTCTTTTTGTTTGGAAGCCTTTTAATAGCGTTGTAGATATGATTCTCTTGAAATGGGCAGTCCTGAAAATCATAAGTATTAAAAGTTTCTGTGATATTAGTGTGTGGATTATTATTATTAGTGTTAGTGTTGTTAGTAGTATGTATTATTTTGTTTTGTGGTTGCGGTAAATTTCTACCATCAAATATACCCTCGAGGTAATGTGCCATTGAATTGACAGCATGTTGGGGTCCTTCTTCGGTAGTGTATCGATGCGTGTTTTTATTTTTTGAGTTGATTATTCTTTTGACAATTGGTATTGCTGCAGTGTGATCCTCGTCTAATTTTGTACAAAATTTCTGATATGCTTCAGTGCGGGCTTGTTTAATATTTTTTTTCAATTCTCGATCTGCTGCTTTGTATCTACTCCACCATATACCGGATTGAAATCCAACGGATTTACGCCATCGAGTATAGCATGCCTGTCTAAAATTGGCTCGACCTTGTAAGCACTTATTCCAGAACCATTTCCAGTTTTTAGGTCTGTAATCTGCTTCTGTTATTATAGTGTTAAGTGAGTAATATATAGAATTGTAGAATTCTTCGGTAATGTATTCAATAGTATCAATATTATTTTGTTGGTTTTCTATTAGAAGTGATGAAATATCTGCGATTGTTGCAAGATATGTTGAGAAGGTTGTTAATTTGTTGATCAAGTTTTTTTCTTGGATTTGATTGTTGAAAGTTGTAATATATGCGTTTGTTACATCATGGTCGATGAGTCTGTTGATTTTCCATCTTTTTCGTTGTTGCTCTTTGTTTTCTGGTTCGGCTGATGTTTGATTATCCCACATAAATGATAGGGTCATCAATTTATGATCGGATCCAAGGATAGCAAGATCATCGCGAATAGTGAGCGTGGGTTGTTGTAAGTCATTTGGGCTAAGAAAATAGTCGACTATGCTATTTTCTGTTGTGTTGTTATGTACCTGAAAATTAATTCGTGTATATTTTTTGTATTGTAGTTTAGCATTCCAGTTAATGATACCGTAGTCGCGTATAATTTTGCATAATTTTGTTCCCCTAGTATTCCATCGACTATCACCAGTGACTTTACCCATACGTGCATTGAGGTCACCACAGATAATAACATTTGATGATAAAGGAATGGATTCTATAATTTGAATTGCTAGGTTATTTTCTAAGGAAGGTGTGGGGGGTAAGTAGAGACAGTATATTTTTAAGTTATCTATTGTGCAGATAATGTAGTATTCGGATTTTGTTGTATCCACATAAAGTTTTTCATATTTTAGTTGGGGTTAATAAATAAGGATATACCCCTTTCATGACGGTAAGAATTAGAGACTGGATGTCCATATTGGTGATATTGAGTCCAGTCAGTTGGTAAATTAGAGGCTGATGGTGGCAGCCAGGTTTCAGTAATAAATAATAGGTCGGTGTTTTTACAGTAGAATATAGTAGAGTCAATGGCTTCCTCGCGGAGTTTACCATTGGCGTTTATGCAGCTTATGTTGAGTTTCCTCTTCATAATGCTTCATCCATTTCTGTTGTTTGTTGTTCTGTTGGTAGATTATTATTTTCAGGGGTACTTTCATCTTTCTTTTCAGTTGGAGAGGGAGTAGCTGTTTTATTGCTGGCAGTAGTATTGTTTGGTGTGGGTGTATTGGTATTATTTTTTTGTTTATTTGTTTGTTGTTCGAATTTTTTATTCCATTCGGTGATAAAATTTTCATGTTGTTCTGTTGTTATTAATTTTTCCTTTACGAAAAATGCTGCTACGGAACGAGAGATATGGTTGCGGATGAATGGCAATGCACGGACAATGCGTTCATTATGCTTCTTTTCTGCAAGTTTTGTTTTTTCCTCTATACTAATATCATTGTATTGAGGGTCGGAGATGGTTGAGGGGTTAGTTGGATCGTATTTTTCTATATTTGATACTTTTGATTTCAGGAGCGTGTCTATAAGTTCTTGTTTGTAATTGACATGTACTAATAGCGCTACTACATTTCTGGCTGGGTAGTGGATGTCCAAGATACGGCCATTAATGATTCCTAATTTTTTTAAATTGCTGCGCTGTTGCTTTCGGCTAATTCTTGATTTTGCTGGATAATACACATATGTGTATCCTTGGTTGTCGTTGGTAGGGGCAGTAAATGCTCTAATGGCACCTGCAATGTTAATATTTTTTTGGGTTTAGTAGTATTGTTTTTTAAGTTTTTTATGTTATTATTATTATTTTTTGTTTTTTCTTTAGTGTTTGTGTTACGAATTTTATCCTGCATAGTTGAGTTGTATGCATGTGCATATTTGGATGCTGATGATCCCTGGTTGTTGGAGAGAGGGGGGAATTCCTCCATATCTTCTTCCATTGTCGTATCATATTCCCCGTTTTGGTGTTGTTGTTGTTGTTGTTGTTGCTGCAGATCGTTTAGCATTTCATTTTTTGATTGAGCCAAGTTCTTTTTTTCGAGGTGTATGCTCCTCTCGTTGGCTGCTTTCATTTGGAGCTTCATTTGTGTGTTTTCTTTTTTAAGTTCTTCCACTTGTTGTTGGAGAGCTTTTACGGTTTCCAGTATAGATGCCAAGGTACTTTCGTTGTTGTTGTTGTTTTTGTTGTTTTTTGTTGGCGTTGACTTGCTGCGTGTCATTTCCAAGTTGTCGTCGCTTTCTATTCTAGTGCGTTTATTTTGTTGCGAAGTCTTTTTGGTGGTTGTTGTCATTGGTGCTTCAGGTGTGGGGTAAGGTACATCTATGGGGATTGCTCCCGATGCTTTCGCTTGAGTGATTTCATGCTGCATAGATGAAATTGATATTTTTTGTTGACATGCTGTGCATGAGAACAATGGGTGGGGGTTGCTGGCATTAGTGTTACCAATGTAAATAATTGTACCTTTGTTGATACATTTTGGACACGTAATTGAGCTTTTGTATGTTTCAAAGTTTGCTAATGTTACCCGATCAGCTGGGGGGAGGGTATCCATAACAGAAGCGTTCTTCTGTTTAGGAGGTGCCATTGTTGGTTTGATTATTTTATTTATTTTTTTGGGTTGGTTTTTTTTGTTTGTTGAGGGTGGGAATGAATCTTCCAAAAGCAATTTAGAATTCCAGGAGGAATGAAAATAGATTTTTGGTTAATTAAAATATGTGGGCGTTTCGATAGGATAGTTTTTGATTGCTGTAGGTAGGTAGATTAAGAATTGTGAGGAATGTGGCTTGGCTTGCAGGAAAAAAGTGTATAAAAGGGCTGATTTTTTCGCGCGCGACCTTACTCGGTATTAACCTCGCGCGGTTGGTTAAGTCTTAACATTAGAAGTTTATTAATAATCGCTTATTAAAATATTGTATCAAGATCCCATTAATCGGGCAATGTTTGGATACGAATATGAGGATTTGGGGGGTGTGTTGTTAAAAATTAAAGCCTCATAGGAGGAAAATTAAAAAAAGGGGAAAGGGTTTGTTTGTAAATAATAAAAGTAAATAAAAGATCAATTTGACAGATTAGCATGATTTCGAATTGAATTTCAGCTAGGCCGTCGGTTTTGCATGAATGGGTTACGAGATGAGAAGTCAGAAAGGTCATAGCGTTGGTCAGTGATGATTGGTTGGTGAGGATTTGGAGAGAGATTGAGTGTTATTAGTGTGGGAGCGGATTTGAGTGACGTAATAGTAAGCGGGGGAAAGTGTTGTGCGTAAGAGGGTTTTTTTTTTTTTTTTTTTTTTTTTTTTTTTTTTTTTTTTTGCCCTGTATATTTTTTTTTTTTTTTTTTTTTTTTTTTTTTTTTTTTTTTTACAATGCACTATTCCATAATCCACTTGTAGAAGAGAACACCAGGATCGGGTTCATCGACGAAAGTTTCTTGGGTTTTGTGACAGATCTGATCAACGAGGAATAGAATGTTGAGGAGGTCGGTCCAGAGAGGTTGCCATTTGATTATTAGATTTTGTTTTTCAGTGATGGACTTGGGCTTGTTAGTTGGGAGTGATTTTAATATTGCGTCGATTGGGTTGATATCATTATGGAAACCACGTTGAATATTTTCCCAGTATGTCTCGGGGATAGCTGGACATACAAGCAAGTGATTTCGACTCATGTGACCGCCACAGTGACAATTCGGCTTTCCACCAGGTAACCAATTCATGCGCCACCTAAGGAGTCGCCTACGTTCTTTTCTAGTCATAGGAATTGTGAGGATTGGATCTATTTTTAAATCAGATCTGCAGCCTTGTATCATCTTTTCCGAAGAATTGATGATGGCGTCAGATCTGTAGGAAGAGATTGTGTGAGTAAGTTTTGTAAAGATGGAGTTGGGAGAGTTATCTTGTTGTAGTGCTTGGAATATTGGATTTTTGTTTTTGATTAGGTTTAGCTTGCTATATCTTGTGTTGGATTGAATAATTTTGTGGATTAATGAATCGGATGGGAGAGAAGCGGAGCGGATTAAGTATTTGGAGTTTAGTGTGTACCATCGTTCGACCATACTTGGAAGATTGACCATAACCCGTAGTGATTTGACAGATGAGTTGGTAAACCCGCCGACAATCATCCGAAGACAGTCATCTTGAAGGCGTTCCAGAGCTGCAAAGTTAGTTGTTTTGAAATTAGATATACACAAACCATATTCGATTTTTGGTCGGATAAATTGCTTGTATATAATGATGGAAAGTAATAAAGAAAAGCCATTTGTGCGGGCACCAATTTGATGGATTCGATGCATGCTGTTGTTGACTTTTTGTTTGAGGTTATTGATGAATGCTTGGGTGTCCATTCCAAGGTGGTTGAATTGAAGACCCAGGTATTTCACTGTGGGGGCGGTTGGTAGATCAGTGTTGTATAATGTAAATGTTGTTGAGTATGTTGGAGATGATATGACGGTGCATTTTGTTGGCGACCATCGATATCCATTCAGTAAGGAATGCTCTTCACATAGGTCTAAAAGATGCTGCATTTTATTTGGAGGTGATATCAGGACAACATCATCGGCAAATAATAGGCAGTTGATATCTTGTAGATTATTGGATTGATGAATTTCACTCAATTGTTGAGGAAGCGAGTTGATAAATATAGAGTATAGATGGGGGCTGAGAACGCTGCCTTGTAGTACTCCAGTGATTGGTTGAAATTTATAGGATTGGTGATTTCCATTGATGACTTGTATGTTGACTTGGTCGAATAAATTTTTCAGAATATTTAGTAGTCTAGGATTGCAGTTTTTGTTGTGCATAGTATTCCAGATTGTATTACGTGGGCATTGATCGTATGCTTTTGCAACGTCAAGTGTAATTACTGCTGGAGGGGTGTTGTTGTTGTTGATTTTAAATCGATGCATTAATTCATCAAGCACTACGGCGTGATCCATGGCAGACAATTTGGGTTTGAACCCTCCTTGTTGTATGCTGATGAATTTGTTTGTTGGTATAAATGATCTTGGATGCAATATTCCATGACTTTTCTGAACGTTGATGTCAGGCTGATAGGTCTATAATTGCTGGGCTGTGTTTGATCACCGGCACCTTTATAAATAGGGACAATTTGGGATTGACGCCATATTGCGGGTGTGTATCCAGTAATCCAGCTTATTCGGAATAGGTGGTTTAGTATTGTTGAGGTAGAGTCGATGATGGGTTTGATCATTTCGGATGTGATGTGATCGCTGCCCGGACTCTTTTTATTGGGAAGCCTTTTAATAGCGTTGTAGATATGATTTTCTGTGAAGGGGCAGTCATGAAAATCATAGGTATTAATAGGTTCTGTTGTATTGGTATTAGGATTGTTAGTAGTATTAGTATTATTAGTAGTATGTATTATATTGTTTTGAGGTTGTGGTAGGTTTCTTCCGTCGAATATACCCTCTAGATACTGTGCCATAGAGTCAACAGCATGTTGTGGGCCTTCTTCAGTTGTATACCTATGTGTGTTTTTGTTTTTTGATTGTATTATTCTTTTAACAATTGGAATGGCAGCAGTGGGATCATCATCCAATTTTTCACAAAATTTATGGTATGCTGCTGTGCGCGCTTGTTTGACTTCTTTCTTTAGATCTCGGTCAGCTGCCTTATACCTACTCCACCATAAACCCGATTGGAATCCAATTGATTTACGCCATCGTGTGTAACAGGCTTGTCTAAAGTTTGCTCGGCCTTGTAGGGATTTATTCCAGAACCATTTCCAGTTTTTCGGCCTGTAGTCTGCTTCTGTGATAATAGTATCAAGTGAGTAGTAAATTATATTGTATAGTTCTTCAGTAAAGTATTCGATTGTGTCGATGTTTTCTTGTCGATTTTCTATAATTGTGGATGAAATATCTGCGATTGTTGCAAGATATGTTTGGTATGCTGTCAGTTTGTTGATCAAGTTTTTTTCTTGGATTTGGTTTTTGAAAGTGGTAATATATGCAGTTGCTACATCATGGTCGATGAGTCTGTTGATTTTCCATCTTTTTCTTTGTTGTTGTTTGTTTTCTGATTCGGTTGATTTTAAATTATCCCATATAAATGATAAGGTCATCAATTTATGATCGGATCCAAGGATAGCAAGATCATCACGAATATCGAGGGTGGGTTGTTGTAAGTCTTGTGGGCTAAGAAAATAGTCGACAATGCTATTTTCTGTTGTGTTGTTATGTACCTGAAAATTAATTCGTGTATATTTTTTGTATTGTAGTTTAGCATTCCAGTTAATGATACCGTAGTCGCGTATAATTTTGCATAATTTTGTTCCCCTAGTGTTCCATCGACTATCACCAGTGACTTTACCCATACGTGCATTGAGATCACCACAGATAATGACATTTGATGATAAAGGAATGGATTCTATAATTTGAATTGCTAGGTTATTTTCTAAGGAAGGTGTGGGGGGTAAGTAGAGACAGTATATTTTTAAGTTATCTATTGTGCAGATAATGTAGTATTCGGATTTTGTTGTATCCACATAAAGTTTTTCATATTTTAGATTGGGGTTAATAAATAAGGATATACCCCTTTCATGACGGTAAGAATTAGAGACTGGATGTCCATATTGGTGATATTGAGTCCAGTCAGTTGGTAAATTAGAGGCTGATGGTGGCAGCCAGGTTTCAGTAATAAATAATAGGTCGGTGTTTTTACAGTAGAATATAGTAGAGTCAATGGCTTCCTCGCGGAGTTTACCATTGGCGTTTATGCAGCTTATGTTGAGTTTCCTCTTCATAATGCTTCATCCATTTCTGTTGTTTGTTGTTCTGTTGGTAGATTATTATTTTCAGGGGTACTTTCATCTTTCTTTTCAGTTGGAGAGGGAGTAGCTGTTTTATTGCTGGCAGTAGTATTGTTTGGTGTGGGTGTATTGGTATTATTTTTTTGTTTATTTGTTTGTTGTTCGAATTTTTTATTCCATTCGGTGATAAAATTTTCATGTTGTTCTGTTGTTATTAATTTTTCCTTTACGAAAAATGCTGCTACGGAACGAGAGATATGGTTGCGGATGAATGGCAATGCACGGACAATGCGTTCATTATGCTTCTTTTCTGCAAGTTTTGTTTTTTCCTCTATACTAGTATCATTGTACTGAGGGTCGGAAATGGTTGAGGGGTTAGTTGGATCGTATTTTTCTATATTTGATACTTTTGATTTCAGGAGCGTGTCTATAAGTTCTTGTTTGTAATTGACATGTACTAATAGCGCTACTACATTTCTGGCTGGGTAGTGGATATCCAAAATACGGCCATTAATGACTCCCAATTTTTTCAAGTTGCTGCGTTGTTGCTTTCGGCTAATTCGCGATTTTGCTGGATAATACACATATGTGTATCCTTGGTTGTCGTTGTTAGGGGCAGTGAATGCTCTAATGGCACCTGCAATGTTAATATTTTTTTTGGGTTTAGTAGTATTGTTTTTAAATTTTTTATGTTGTTATTATTATTTTTTGTTTTTTCTTTAGTGTTTGTGTTACGAATTTTATCCTGCATAGTTGAATTGTATGCATGCGCATATTTGGATGCTGATGATCCCTGGTTGTTGGAGAGAGGGGGGAATTCCT